ATGCTGAATTCGTACTGACCAGCCATCGATTCGAGCCCGGCTCACCTCATTGGAAGGAGAACGTTTTAACCCTTTGGCCATCATAACTTGCACTAATTTATTAGCATGTTTGAAGTCCCTTCCCCTTTGAGCCAACAAGATTAAGTCCTAAAACGTGAAGATCTGATCATTAGATCAATCACTCAAAGTGGTTTATTTTTATCTCTTTTGCTCACTTTACGTGCATTTTGCACAAAAAAAGTATGCAAGCAGTATGCTGTTTAAATTTTGAATACAAAGACTTTTAGATTTAGACTAGTTTCAGCCATGAAGATATTTTGACACTTTTATGGTAAATTTTGGGAAACTTTTTTTACTGTATAATAAACGCATTTTTTAATTATTACAAATCATGACTGTCATTTTATGGTCATGAAAGTGAAAAGCAGAAAAAATAACATCTTAAGAAAGTAATATTAATTTTAATAAGTTTAACTTTTAGGGCCCATAGCAAATTCTTTTACTTTTCGTTCTCCCGCTACTTTAAATGAAAGAAAATGCTAGGAGTTGAGTTTAAAATTTGCTGTTGCAAATTACTATGGTAATGGACGTTCAGTTGAATTAATATTTTAGAATTTTCTCACTAAACATCCATCTAGGATTGTAAACGAGTTTGTTTAAAGAATTTTACTGGATTCTTGCAATCTCAAGAGTGCTTTATATTTCATTTTTGGAGAACAGGTTGATCTTTCTCGATGCTCTGTACTTGTCTTTGCTTTTAAAATGAAAGCATTTCTATTCGTCGAAACTGTACCTTCGAGAGATCATTTTACCGAAGGAACTTTAGTTCTTGGAGGATAAATTTATAACCTTAATGCTCGAGGATTTAAATATTCACTCCCGTGTTTGAAGGATGAGAAAAGTGGCAAGAGCTATAAGTATTGAAAGACATCCAGAAATACATCAAGATTATGTTTCTTGCATTTCCTTTTCATACTGAATGTGTATTATTTAAAAGCTATGCACAAATTGGGAAAAATTCCCTATTGTCCTCGTAAAAATAATTTAAACATTTTATAAATGCTATTAAATTACAATTTTAAAGGAAAATATTTAATAAAATGTTATTGCTTCTGAAGATTTTACTTAAAGGTACTTGATGGTTCATTATTAAATTTAATTATTTAAGATAAGATATTTCATTTGCACAGCTACATTAAAATATTAGCAAATATTTAAGTAAAAAAGTATGGAAATTAAGGGTCCTAAATTATTATTAAGGCTACAAAAAGCAAACTCGCTTTTAAAGTATTTAAAATAATTATTCAGTGGGTCTGGATGGACGCATCAAATCTTGTTTGGTTGCCGAAAACAGTAGATAGGAATCAAAACATTAATTATTTGAAATAACTAAGTTTCAATCCGACGATCAATCTAATTTTGATATTTGATCACTCAATCAAATTTTAATGTTTCATCCGACCATCAATCTGGTTTCGACATTTCTTCAGACGCTTTATCCTGTTTTAATAAATCATCAAACAATCAATATAAATTTGATATTCGATAGGCATACGATCGATATAAATTTGATTCCCTAGGAATTCGATATACTTTCATTGCGCTGTTGTTTATTCAATGCCTAAAATTTAATATATGACCCATATTAGATATATTCCTTTTTTTTGTAAGACGGACTCTTGAAACCATTGTTGAAACTGGTTACTAGGGAACACCATTCGAACAGATATTTGCAATATATTTGATGTTACATTATATTTGACGTTTTTTCAAAGAGCGTGGTTTTTTTAAAAATCTGTTTTCGTATTTAGCACTGATTTGTTATAACTTTTAAAATAAGCAATAACGTTTGCCATTTAGTACGTGAAATTTTGTTAACAAAGGTAATTTGGAGATAATTTTTTCTCCCCCTTTTTCACAAAAAAAATATTACATGGTGTTCATTGTTTTAAAAAAACTGAAGACTCATAGAAAACCAGGTTATGACATGAAGTTTACGGACTAGAATGATTTCTGTCGTTTTAGTAACTTTAACTTAGTACCTTTATCCTAGACTAGTTTTCAATAGTTGCTTTAAAATGAGAAATGTACATTTTACAATAAATTTTACCTTAAACTTTCCTGAAAAATTTAACCTCAAAAGTTTTTCTTTGTGCATCATTTTTGATTTTTTTTGATTACAAAACTTATAGCTTTCTGTAAAAAATTGTATTTTTTATAATTATTTCGTTTGGTTTGCGGATTATTAAAAAAGTAAGAATATTTAAAATGGGTGGTCAATGGAGGTCAGTCCAACTTATGCGCAATTATTTTCTTAGTTCAAGAAACTCTCTTTAGTTCAAGAAAGTTCATTTCAAAATGTTACGATCGAATGAACTAAGCTATAAAAAAAGATGAAAATATTAAGTGAGATCTACTTTCTTTATTCTTTTCAAAAAAAAAAATCTCATTCAATAAAAAGTTTGAAAATGTTCGCAATTGTCTGAAAAGGTTTTGTTATCCAAACAGTATATTTTAAACTCACTTTAGTTCAAGAACGTTCATTCCAAAACGTTACAAGCTAAGGAATTAAGCTATAAAAAGGATAAAAATATTAAGTGAGATCTACTTTCTCTATTCTCTTTAAAAAAAAATCTCATTCAATAAAAAGTTTGAAAATGTTTGTAAATGTTTGAAAAGGTTTTGCCATCCTAACAATATTTTTTAAACTCACTTTAGTTTAAGAACGTTCATTCCAAAACGTTAAAAAATAAAGAATTAAGCTATAAAAAAAGATGAAAATATTAAGTGAGATCTACTTCCTCTATTCTTTTTTTTTTAAAAATCTCATTCAATAAGTAGTTGGAAAATGTTTGTAAATGTTTGAAAAGGTTTTGTCATCCTAACAATAGCTAAACTCTAACTTAAGAATTATCTGTCCATTTCCTACGAACCAAAAATGAAATAAACAGTTTCGAAGCAGAGATGGTCATTCGACATTCAGAATAATGGATAAAGAAAAATGAATGATTATTCGAAATCTGCCTGAATAATAAATACAGATTAATTCATTAGACTGACACATTTTGAATAAAATATTGAAAACAAATAATTCACGTGTATGGCGTGTTTCTTTTAGTTTGCCTTATGAATGTGATTCTTCTCTTTAAGCACACCATTAGCTTATGGTGTCCCGTCATATAATACCATGCACATTTCTATGGTTTTCACAGGCTTATGGTGCCTTGTCATATAAATGAAATGTTCACTGTTTCTGTGGCTAAATGTGTTAGACTGACCCTAAATAATCGGTGAAATAAGAAAAATTGTAAGGAAACAGATAAGGAAAAAATAAACCTAATGTAATTTCTAATAAAGGCTCTGCTTGGTAACATTTTTACCTACTCAGTGAGCATTTTGGCGACAAAATTGTAATTTTTTCTGTACTAGTCTAGAATGAAGTCTGAAGTTCAGGGACTTCATCGCCAAGCTTACATAAACTGTCGCTTATCACGTCGGAATTATGCCTACCAATGACTGCAGTATGTTCTCTGAGGTTTTGAAGCTTGTGTTTTGCTCTACTAATATGTTTTCTTTTAAGCTGTAATTGAGTTCTGTAAAAAGCAATATTTTCCATAAAGTGTTTGAAACGTTAAGGACTGTATTGTTTATCTCCAACCTAACCAACCCTTGTGTTGGATACTATATTACAATGATTTTTTTTTAAAAAAAAGGTTCAATAAGCTATTAATTATAAAAAAGCGAAAATTATAAAAATTGCATAAAACTTAGTGAATTATAACGAATATTTATAATCCCTTCCAGACCCTCAATATTTTCAGCTGGAATCTTTTTTTTCATATCTCCCACCCTTTGTCTAGAAGTCTTGATATGAGATATTAAAATAAATAGCCGATTATTGCTATATATATATATATATACCGAAGAGCCATTACATTATGACTACCCTCCATCTATAAAAATTGGTTCAACCAGGTTTTCATGGTTTCTCGCCAAGGAACAATGTTTTCATGGAGCGCATTAGGACCCATAATCCTCATAGAATAATCCCTGACATCTGTAAGCTACTTGAACAAAGTTGCAGACCAGGTTCACCCATTCATGGCAACAGTTTTTCCTGCGGGGGATGGTATTTACCAACAGGATAATGCACCATGTCATAAAGGTCGAATAGTCAAGGAACATTCCAAGTCATGTCTTGTCCCCCAAATTCACCTGACCTTAATCCAATAGAGCATTTGTGGTCCTACTTGAAAAACCAAATTCGTGCTGCCACGCTACCCCCTCGCAATGTGAGGGAATTGCAGGACCAGTTGGTGAGCGCTTGGTACCAGATACCTCAGACTACCTATCAGCACTTTATGGAATCAATGCTACGGCGGGTGCTAGCAGTTTTGAGGGGTAAAGGTGGTCCTACATGTTATTAGCAGATTAGTCATAATGTAATAGCTCTTCGGTGTATATTTGTGATCGCAATTCTTAAATTTTAGTCTAATGAAAAAAAAACAATAAGTAGTCAAAAATATTATATAACTAGCAAAAGCTAATTTCGTAATCGTATGAAAACTCATTCAGTTTCGTTTTATTTGGATTAGCGTTGCCACACTTAAGAAAATCTTAAATAAATTGTGCACTTGGTTAACTTTTAGTCACGTCCTTAGTACCAATTATCATGGAATGTCTGATTCCTAGCGAGTGTTCATTGTACGGTAATTGAACTTTCATGGATTCAAAATTTCCCAGTTTTACTTTCCTTAAAGAGATCTTCACACCATTCCCAGGGCCTCTGGGTGATTTCTTCTTATTAAGTGCTGTTCCTCGAATTTTAAATTTTCCTATGTATTTTATCTTTCGACACTGTGACTAAACTGGCACACTAAGTTAGCAAAAATAAGCAGATAAAACAACAACGCAATAACAAAAAACATATTTGCATGCCAGAATACTTTTTGTTCATACAAAACAACCATAATGCATATACCTATAGTATACATATGAGGTATAGTATACATAATTTATTGCATACATAATTTTAAGCTTTAACAATACTTAAAACAAAGTTTAATGTCTTAAAAAGGCATTAATTGTTTTTACAAATCCCTTCTAAGCATTTTTATGTCCTCTATCCTCCTGTTTCTTTTTCTTGCTTTCTTATAACTCTTGACAGGATAGCTCATGATAAGTATAACTGTCTCTAAGAAATCGAATACAGCAACCAGTGAGATTCCAAGCCACATTCCAACGTAGCCACCAATATAGCTGAAAATCTCTATATTCTAAAATATATTATACCTCGAATTTGAATATCAAATTGAACTCAACATATCTAATACAATTCACATGTAAAAGTTATATGGAATATATATGTCACGGCGAAAGATTGAAATCGGTGGCTGTTGACTTTCTCCGGTGAATGTCGACAAACACCAAATACGTCGGTGAAAGATCGGATATTTAATTACATTCTTGTACATTCGGATCCTCACCGGTGTATGTCGACAATCACAGATATGCTTTGGTGAATGTCCGAAATATTTATTACATTCGATTTGATATGAATTTATTCGTGATTATAATTACATTTATTCGATATTTTAACCCTACACTGATGTTTTTTTAAGGTTAAGTGCCACTGCCCGGTATACCCTACACTGTTCTTTTAAGGTTAAGTGCCACTTCCCGGTATACATTTGCCCGGTATACCCTACACTGATGTTTTTTTAAGGTCAAGTGCCATTGCCCGGTATATATTTGCCCGATACACTGATGTTTCTTCTAATCTATCGTCAGTAAGTATTAAAATATAGAATAAATATAAATATATCAAATAAATATAATAATATTAACGAATAAATTAATATAAAATTGGATATAACAAATATTTC